AGGAACATTTCTGCTGTTGGGTTTTTAATTACATTTTCACATTGTGTCATCCTTTTTCTCTCAGTTATCTCTCAGCTTATCTGAATTAAAGTAAATTTTAAATTGATACTTAGTTTATTTACTGTTTTTACTGTACTTATTGTTTTAAAATATGATTTAAAATCCTAGTCCACAAGCATCCTTATTCAATTTTTTCCCATAAATTTTCACGTTATGATATATTTATATTATTTATTGGCTGCACCTAAAAACATCAAGGATATTTTCAATTTAAACATAGATATGAAATAATACAATGTAACCTACAATAACTTAAATTCTATCATTGTACAAGGTTATCAAATCAATTTAGTTTAGTCTATCAAATAAGCTGCCTGTAGTGTCTTTAAATGTCCAGCAGGTGTCAGTATTCTGTGAAATAGAATCAACGCAGCATCAATACAGTTTGGCAATGTGTCGACGCTTCAAGATGCCTCATTAATCAAAATACTTAACTGACCTTAAAGCAAAATTAAATGTATGTAATCACTTCAATAAAATGTGAAAATTACTGATATTACTGTTAAAAAACGAAAGCCTATTTAAATAGAATAAAAAAACAGCAGCATGTGCTTGGATTCAACCCATTATTTAAAAGAAAACTAAGCGAAAAGAAACTAAGCGATTATAACATATGATGTATTATGCATGCAAAATTATGCAAAGTACTTATAAACTATAAAGATATTTAAATCAGGGTGTTTTAAGAAGGAAATAAAATAATATCCATAGAGAATAACAATTTAAGGGGGAAAATATTGCAAAACGTAAAAATTGATGATTATAGTTTGTAATATACATGGCTCAGAATAGGTTTAATGTATGTTAAATTGGCCTTCAAATGACAGAGGAGCAGATATATGTTATGTTTCTGGCCTGTCAATTGACCTGTTTCTGCCTCCCAATTTTTGAGCCTGCTTAGCAACTGTTGGCTGTATTAGTACAGCATAAAAAGCAGCCCTAGACGAGTATACCTATACCCTACATATATTACATATATTTTCTGTCCTCTTAAAACCACCATCGCTTGTGGTAGACGGTCACTCACATATTTACTTTATAAATACAGTATTAGGCTATTAGATATATAGCCCTGATGCACATTGTGCAAAAAGGTTCGTACAGCTAAATAAATACTTTAACAGTAGATAATGAAAGAATCCTGTTTATAAATGTTTGCACTCTATTTCTTGCAATATTTTTTGCAGTAATTTAATCTATAGGCATTAGAAAACACAACCGCTGGACAAATATTATCTAGCAGGTGAAAAATTTGCATCAAGAAAGAACTGTTTTCACTGGGGACACAGGTACTGGTACATTCAAGGTTAATGGTATTAATGGACACACAATTTTTTCATGTATTACAGAAGATTGATAATAATAATAGAGCTTCATTAATCTCACATTGGAGAAATTTACCTTTGCATTTAACCAATCCCCTTGGAGAGCAGTGGGCTGCCATTGTGCAGCGCCCAGGGAGCAGTGTGGGGCTAAGGGTCTTGCTCACACACTCTTCTTGTGGTTTCCTCATAAACATGATAAGTTCTCAGTACAAATTAGGGAATGGGATGTAGAAGAGGGTTGTTTTTGTCTTTTCTGAGATATTTCTGTGTTGGTTTAGCCATGATTTATAATCATTATCTCACTAAAAGATCCAGTGATGACCCGTTATTTTATGTTGTGAAAAGCTACCAGACATATATTTCATATTTGAGAGTTTTTCCAAGAATGCTACTTAATCAAGGTTCCTAGGGCCTTTGGCAGACAAAAAGGCTCACAGCATTAGATATTCTTAACCATAATTAGCGGTGAGTATAAAGTGCCTTCCTATTTACTGAATTCATCCTTATGTTTCATGGCAAAAACAATTAGAACTAAAACCACAAAACAGGCTTAAATCAGAGACACCTGGACTTTAACTCTGAACATTTTTGACACCTGTCAAGGAGTCTTTTTTAAAAACTAAATTAATTAAATTCACTTTGTCAGCTTGCACCAGAGCAATCTGTAGTCTGAGTGCTGATGGGGTTTTTTTAACATGGACATCCATCCTCCTCAGCACATTTTTAGTCAGTTTACACAGGCAGATAGAATTAAACCTAAACAACTGTTGCTAAACTTCTTAGCCCTAATGAAGTTAGAACACAACACACATTTCCAGCTAACCCTGAAAACTAAAGGCTGTCAAAATGTTTAGAGTCAAAAGTTATAGTGATGTACTTCAAAGATTGGAATTGTATTTTAAGAAAGGTTTGTCAATCATACTTTTTATTTTAAGAATTGCCCCAGAAACTTTAGACTTTGAAATAAAACATCTCATTTACTCAGATGTTTAAGACAACCCATGAACAATGATCCAAAGAAAACAAACTTAAAACAGCTTCTGCATTGATGTCTCACTGTTGTTGAGAAGATTCCAAGATTTTATTTGATCAAAGTCATAACATTCATATGTACAACTCACAAAAAACTTAAATTTACTGCTGTCATTGTTATTATTTTTATGAAGCCAGATATTACATTTCAAAGGTTAGTCATCTCCATTTTAATAGCAATTAACATACAATAGTAGCTTAATAGTAGTATTTTTGTTGTTGTTTTTTGTTTTTTGGAAAAAAGTGACTCAGATGGAAGTGATGTATTGCTTTGATGCACTTTTATAAAATGTTTTACATGTAAAGTTAAAATAAACACAGTTTCATAGAATACGAACTTGAAAAATGGGTAAACAATATACACTAAATTATATTTTTTATGTGCTTCTAAGCCACATTGGAGCTGAATAGGTCCTTCATGAAGTTTAAAAATGAAGTGTGCACTTCAGAAAGTAACATTTCCATGGGGCCGAAACCTGCTTTATACAGATCCTTTCATAGTTTTATTATATAATGCAAAGTTTTGCATGCACAGATGTAATATGCTGTTTTACAAAAGAAGTCTGCTTATACAATTTCCTACTTATATAATATATAGAACATGAGAAAAAGTTAAACCATAAGCTTAGATAATTAAAAAATCAATATAAAATCAAAAGACACCACAATCTTAGGTGTGGTAAATATAGGTACGGTAGGTAAGAATGTTACAGTTGTTACAGCATCTTTCAGACTGCACATGAATGAATGGTGGTCGTCAGAAGGTCTGCAGGCACAGATGTGCTATACAAAACTATTAATGGGGTACTTAATGGGATCCTTCCATAGAAACGTAGAAAACTTTTTCCTTTCAGCTTTTCCTCACAATGACAATGAAAGAGCCAACCGTCTCTTTAGGTCTTCTTCTATTGTGGTAATAAACAGTTGTGCATTTCCCTCAATATTGCAGGTTTTTCAGGTGTAATCAAAATATAATCTGCACAAATACTTACTTTAAATTAATTTTTTCGGATTGGTATCAAATATTCCAGGGGTTTTAATGTAAGAGTAAACTAATTAGGGAAAAAGAGTATCCATTTTTTACAGAACAAAAAAATAACTGAAAGGTGCGGAAATCAAGAAAATAATTATTGAAATTTGTGAAAATTTGCTTTAAGAATCATAAAGCATCTGAGATCAAAATGGAAGAAATTAACAAAAACAATCCAATTTTGTTCTAAGTCTCCTCAGTGGGCGTCTCCCTCTCTGCTACTTCAACTATTTCCTGATAACCTCCTGACCTAAATCCAGAGTACCTCCTCCTCCTCCTAACAACAATCACAGCCACTATGACAACCAGTCCTATCAAACCCATCACTCCAAATGCAACTCCTGCCTTTTGCCCACTCGACATCTGATTCAGTCTAGGATTGAACTTTCTCATAAGTTCTGGGATTTCCTGTGGTCCAACAAGTTTCCACGCTTTAGTGGGTCCTACCCTGACCCAGCTCTTCTCTCCTTCAGTCATCACCATCACAGTGTTGGTGGCTTGCATGCTGACAAGAGGAGATTTAGTAAAGGGAGGGAGATGGATTGGTAGCAGCTCACCCCCTGTGAACAGTCCAGACTGGACACAGTAAAGAATTTCACATCCATCACTTACTGTTACGAGGTGTTGGCTAAATTTTGGAGGGCATCTGTGCAGGTTTTTGGCAAGTGGGTTACCAGACTCACAACTGAAAAGGCCGCCGAATGGTACAGAGTACCTGGTACCAGTTTCATAATCACTGCTCACACAGATTGTTTGGCCATCAGATAGAAATTTTACTGGAGTAAAGTTTGGGGCGCAGCTTTTGGATTTGGTTATGGGGTTCTGAAAGGAAGTGCTGTAGAATCCTCCAAATAGAAACCCTGAGTTTTTAGAAGCTTGTCCATTCACAGAGCACCAGTAGGTATGCACATGTGCAGAGCGAACATGATACACATTTTCACAGTTTCTGCTATTACAAATGAACAATCCCAGAAAGCCACAGGGATAGCTGACATCATAGCAGTAATTCTGTGTGTAACCCTGCTGTCTCACTTCTGATCGTAATAAAGTAGCGGAGAACGGTGAGCTACAGGAGAAGTCACCAGTTGCAATGTTTTTCTGGGCAAGTGATTCGCAAAGTGGACCTGCATCTTGGCTGAGTGGTGTACATTCTTGGTAGACCCCTCCAAAGCTGAGGTTGGTGGCAGGGCCCTCACAAGAATCATCATCCACATTGGCCTGAAAGTTGAAGTTCTTGGAGGTGATGTCAACGCAGCCTGGACGGGTGTTGATCTTGTAGTAGCGCTCTATTGCCTTGCTCACTGTATGGGCCACTTTGCCCACTGTAGGTTCTGACAGATCAGGAAAAGTGTTTGAGTTCATAATGCTGTGGAGGGGAAATCCTAAACGGTCAATAGGAACCAGGTTATTCCTGGTACTTTCCTGCCACTTCTGCAAAGTGATCCCAGGATAAAAAGGTATGCCTCCATGGCTTTTAATAAGGGAGTATTGAATGTTTGACTGATATGCTGCAAGTGTTGATCTTTCTTTACCTGATTGACTACTAATGTCAAATTTGATTTTGTCAAAAAAATTTAAACCAGCCTGAGCTTTAACAGTGGAACTATCTGAGGCACTATCTGAGACATAAGAGGAACGGAGGTAGTCTTCTTGCACCAGAGAAGCCCCAGCATCTACACTGGTGATAACATGGGTTCCATAGTCCAGCACCATCTTCTCAGAGAGATAGTCTGCATTCCTTGTCTGATTGTTTTCAATTGCATCTGCTATTTGTTTTACTTGCTGTGAAAAGCGTGAATCCAGTGTGAAGTCTGGGTAGGCTTTCACTGTGTAGATGAAGTTGCGGACCTTTTGAAAGAAGCAATCAGAATTTAGATTATTTTCAGTTCTGTATAATCAAACATTTATTTTATATTTCAACACATTTGTTCATGTTCCAGACTGAAAGTAGCACAGCTTGCATTTTTTTTTTTTACATATTTATTGCCTTAGCCAATTGATACTTGTTATTTCTAGCGATCCGTCCACACTGTCTTCCAAAGGTTTTCATACCCCTAAAATTTCTTGATAAGTCGCAACGAACTTCAATGTACCTTTTTTATGAGTTTTAAAATTATAAAATAAATAATTTGATTCTGATTGAGCAATACGAGCGAGCATATTATCAGAAAGGAAGGACAAAAAACAATAGATCTATGTTCCCACCCTCACCTATTGTCATGAGGGTAATGACGAACGTCTAAATACGTCTAAAAACCACATCCGACTAGGCTCCATGGTGCAATGGCGCTACTCTGACTCGTCGCTCCAGAAGCCATGTCTGATTTTCCCCCGATCTCACGATTCCTGATTTGGAGGTGGTCGTTAGAGGCTGATTGCCCTTTCATTACCCCCTGTACACTACACGACGCACAATCAGACTGAAAGTCGGCCCGATGGAAAAATTCTTGCACGACTGGAGAATCTTCCCGAAAAGGGCAAAAAATCGTACAGTGTATGCCCGGCTTCAGGGGAACAGAACAAAGGATGGGCTAATGAGCTAAATTTGGAGCAGGTGTGATTGGAACTAACTAGAATGAAGCCAAGGGGAAAGGGAGCAAGCAAAGGGGGTCAACAGAGAGTAAAAATACAAACTGGTTTAATATAATGAAAAATAAACCAAAGATCAACAAAACAGAATAACCGATAACTGAAAACTAAAAACTTCAGAATCCCAAAAAGAGGAGAACCATAACATCAATTTTGGGAAATCAAAATTTTCCCTTCTCTAGCTGCATGGTAGTCAGCCTTATGTATTTTACCGGAGCAGTTTAATAAATCTTAAAGAAGTTGCATCGGTGGTCAAACAATTTTGAAGGAGTGTGGGTCATGGGCTGCCTTCTAAGCATCCTCCCTGAGTCCTGGGGGCATCTAGAAAAGATGTCTGAGGCACTTCGGCTGACTCCTCTCAATGTGGAAGAGACCCAGTTCTATTCTTACCTGCATGGCTTAACTCCTCACCCTATATCTGAGGGTGCCCATTCACCCTGTGCGGAAACTTCTTTCAGCCTCTTGTATCAGAGATCTCATCTTTTTCCTTATGATCCAGATTTAAAGACCACATTAGGGTAGGAAGGACCCGTTATTCGAGAGCATTGCTTTTTCACTCAGGTACTGTACTGCTCCACCTGTACAGTTACCTGGTGGCCTCTTGTAAAGGTTTCCCGACCCCAAGCAATGTGCGGGGGAGAGGATATATGAATGATACTCTAAAAGACTGTTTACCTTTTATGCCGACATGAAAACACTACATGAGCAGGAAAATCCTGCTGTGCATCACCTTGTACACTAAATCTATACAGTTAACAAAGGTGATGGAACTATCATGCTGTAGGAATTCTTTGACAGGACCAGAACTTGTGGGTTTGTAGATGAAGCTACAAATACAGGGTAATTCTTAATAAAAAATGTGAAAGTTGAGTTTGAAAAGGATTTGAGTTAGGATTTTGTCTTCCAGAAGGCAATGACCCTAAACAAATAGTTTAACTATAATGATATTTGTTTTTTCATATACTCAGTCCATCCTGACATCTATTGATGATCAGATATGGGTGCAAAGCTGTTAGAGATCCCAAAAAATTTCTTGTTGTCAATGAAAGTCTTTATAAATTAGTAGATTAATGTATGCATGCCAGATATTACAGATTCTGATTTGAAACAATGTTAGTTTATCACATAATAAAATAAAATAATACTTGCAATTATACTGCATGGACAGTTTTGTTGCCATATTGACAAAATGTGCAAATTTTAAAGGGTTTTGAAAACCTTTTGAAGGTACTGCATTAAAAACTACAAAAAAACTTTTTACTGTACTGTTTATGTACAACACAGCTAAATTAAAATGAAAAACTTACCTGCACTCTGGCTGTTGTTGATGAATCTTTGACTTGATGGGATTTCATTCTTGTGCTCTCTAGAGAAAATTTGCCATTAAGGATGGAGTAGAATGATACGTCTGAGTTTATGGAGTGAGATGTGGTGCTTTTCTGCTCCTGCCAGGAGCTGATTATCTCAGAGTTGGTCTCCAAGCCAGTCTCCTTCTGTGGGATGACAAACACCTCATCTGGGATGAAGTAGAGCCCATCCTCAGTTGTTTGGCATTGAAAGTAGCTTAGGTTCATCACTCGACCCATGTCCAGGTTACGAAGGTTGTCCCAGCCTCCTCCTGGCAGGACTTCCAAGGCTGTGATGGAGATGTTGGTGGAGGCCCGGCATTGTCTGAGCCAGTTGGTTGGACGACGCACGGGACTAGAGAAGCAGATATGCAAAAAGGTAAAAGCGCCTAAGACTTTCAGAGCAGACTTCATGATGCCTTTGTCTGAAGTGAAAACTGATCTGACTAAATATAAAGTTCACACTAAGTCCTGCCCCTAAAATGCATGATCACATGACAGAGATTTGATTAGCTTTTTCTTGCATTTCTGATGGAAGTTTTTTTTTATTTTATATGCTTAAAAATACAGAAAAATAGACAATCATATTTTAATATCAACACTCCTCCAGATATTTAATAGCAACTCATTTGCAGACATCAACAGGTTCTCATTTTGTTGTCACTTGCTTAAAAGATATTGATCAAATAAGGAGTGCATTGTAAGAATCAGATAATTCCTATTTTGTATTAGCAGTACCAGAGAAAGAACCATGAAGGTACCGTAAAGGATGTGAATCTATTTTAAGCAATTGGATAGACACATGATTAATAAGCACAATTAACACCACTCCACCAATGTAATACAAGCTGATTTACCACTGATGCCCTCAAACAACACTGAAATAACATTTACAGCCTCATTCTGACAGAATATCTTACCTCACAGCAATATAGCAATATTAAAATAAAATCCTATCAATTAAAAAAAATCATCTAATTACAATAATAAAAATATATTATTTAGTAGTTTTACTGATTTATAGTTTATTATATTTATATTAGGAGCATTCTGTGCCATTTTCTATTCTAGGAAATTGAACTGTAAAACATAAGTAATCTGTCAAGAACCAAATCGATCAAAGTTTATAAATCATTGTTACAGAGGAGTTCTCAGAAGAGAAAAAAAAACACTTACCGGTATTAGTCGACTTGTTTGTGCAATACTGCATAAAGCAATAAAAGCGACTATGTTTCACTTTGCATCCTAGAGCAACCAAGACAGCACCTGTATAATAACCATAAAAGGACAGGAGACCTGAACCTTTCTGAAGAAAAAAAAGATTTACTGTTAACAAAATCTATCCTGACCTTTATCTGTACTTAAGTTGAGATAAGTATTTATAGTGTTCCCCATATGAAGAGGAACAGAAACCAGATGTACAAACATGAGATAAGAAAGAGAAATGGTGTACATCACCCCATGAGTATTGATCACTTACAATGCCGGATTAATCTCCCTTCTAATCATTTACGTACATTTGATATTTAGGTTAAAAATTAGCTGTAGAGTGAATATAGGGTTAGGGTAACCATTTAGTAAATAACTCCCAGTTTGGCTTATCAAAAGATTCTGTGGAAAGTAAGTTTACACCAAGAAAGTTGCCATTGTCCTTAAAAAGCTGTCATGAAACAAAGTAACACTAGGTTATTATGTCTAGCAAATGTTTTAATATAGTTTGAAGTTTTCTTACTTGTGTTATGGTAAAACACATCTCAAAGTATTTATTGCGATTCTGTTGATAGACCGACAAAGAAAGCACAAAACATGTTTATCAGAATTCTTAGAACTGAGATAAGTGCAATAATTATCTTTCCTAACACCTCACCCCCCCAAATCAATATGTCACTTCTCGCTTACAGCCGCAGCTTTAGCTGCAAATCATGTGTGTCTTTTGCTGCATATTCTCTTTCGTATTTAGATCTGGACTTTAACCAGGCAAGCTGAACAAATATACTGCATTGATATGTTTCATTCAAAGCATTCCTTTATGACTCTGGTTGATTTTCTGGTGGAAGTTGAACCTCCACCTAAGTTAGGGTGGAGGTTATATTTATGTTATATCATATATATAATTTACATACTATGTAAATAGGTTATATTTAGTTGGGTGTAAATTGGCAAGTATTTGGTGATACAATATACATATCAAAATACTGGTGTGAAGATATTATTTATCCTGATATAATGTAATGTAGAAACATAAGTGATATATTGTGAAACCTTACAAGATCCCATTGTTGATCTGCCATGGACGTTGCAGAGCAGATGTTGCCTTCAAATATTTTTCATTTTAAGATAGATTCAATATTTTTAATGAATATCATATATGTCACAATATTGGTATTTTAACTCCATACCATTATCATCTATATAGGAACTTCTGCAGTTTCATTGCCTTTTCTAGTGTGATGAGTTTCAATTTTTCTGATAGAAATCTAAAAACGTGATTCTGCCCCCAGGAGAATATACTGATTGATTGATTGATTGATTGATTGATTGATTGATTGATTGATTGATTGATTGATTGATTGATTGATTGATTGATTCTGTGTCTTTTCTGGGTGGATCATCATAAAAAGTGGTCCTCCTAATAGTCAATCATTCTGGTAGTATGTTTATGTAAGCCTGTCCTATGTGTTCGTCCTCATTTTCACTTACCAGTGGTGAGTCTGAAATAGTGGAAAAATTGCAAATCTTCTTATGGAAAGTGAGCTTGTATGAGCCATGCAAACAGCAACTTTTAAACGGAGCGTGCACGAGGAGAAATTGAATCATTCTTGCTCTCGCATGCATGAGCGGGTACCTTTTTTTTTTTTTTTTTTTTTTTTTTGCAGTTACATCTAAGAGATTCAAGTAACTTCATGTATTGAAACTTAATATGTTGTTTTAAAACAGAAACACAACTTTTAACCTTTACCAACTTTTAACCCTGAGGCTGTCCGATGGTTTGCTTGGTCTTCATGATACTATAATATCTTCAAATCTGTTCTTTATCAATGGCCTGTGGCCTTATCAGACAGTATTTATACTGCATTTTAATATACACTCAGGGGATATTTGGTGACTTCTGAAGTTACATGCTTGCTCTGTAGTTTATCAACAAGGAGACAAGGACCTTACATGGATGACTCCTTTTCCCATTGGCTTTCATATACCCTGTGGGTGTGGCCACAAACTGATTTTTTAAAGGGGTATGTTTAATCGCCATATCTTAAAAACATTTAAGTTTGAGATTTATAAACCAGAGTGATACTATGAGGAATTCATGTAGAAAGTGTTTGCAAAAGGAAGGGACATGCTGTACAATTCTTTGAACTGATGGGATACCTGCCTCTCGTGTCGAATTTGTATCCAATCACAGCAGCAGTAGCAGCTTGATTTGTTTAACAACTAGCGGAGTTAACTGATAAATCAAGCTCTTACCAAATTCGGTCAGGAAAAAAAATGTCCTATTCAAAAAGGCAAAAAGCATGTACTTGTGCTAATTTTTCAAAAAGAAAACAGCCGCAGCCATGTTTGTTTTGCTTCAGCTTTTTGCCTCTGGTTAATGGGTTGACATTGCATTTCATTGGCCTGAAATATTTCTCTATGGATATATTTTCTGGAGTTTGTGGATTCACATATCCCACAACAATTCATCTCACTTGCAAATTAATGGTAAATAATAAAAATTAAACATTTTGGGTTGATATTTTCAGTTTCAGTACCTCACAAATTTTGTATGTGAATTGTAACATAAAAGGCAGCAGTTAATTATGTGATTCCCAGAAAATTCAACATGTAGCAGGTCATCTTTGCACTGCCAAAATAATAACTATACTGTATTTACTCAATATCATATATTTACTTAGGTAGGAGTAAAATAGTATTTGGTTAAAGGTTTACTTAAGTGCTGTGTAACTAATAAAAAGATTTCTGCTATGGTTCTCCCCTTAGGACTTCTTTTTGAGTTTTCAATTATTTATGTCATTCTTTTTCGTAGGTAATTTTTTTCTTTTCCATTTTGTGTTATATTTAAGCATTGTTGCATTTTTTAAGTTACTCTCTGTTACTCCCTTGTGCCAGTCTCCTTTCCCCTAGTTACTTCTATCCACACCTGCTCCATATCAGCTCATTAGCCCATTCTTTGTTCTGTCCCCCATATATACACCTCATATGCAGTTCCTCATGCTGGTTTCTGACCATTTCTTTGTTTCTCATGAGTGTTTTCCGTGACGTCTCTTGGTTTTCTGTTTTTTGTTTTTGGACTTTCCTTCCCTTGCATTTGGATCTTGATGAAATCAGCAAAAATTCTTTGTTGTCTTCTTCTATTTTGCGTTTGGGTCCACAACCACATCCACCACCAGTTGACACATTTCATTTTTTTTTTTTAAGTCAGACTGACACAATTAATGTATAGTTCTTTATATATATATATATATATATATATATATATATATAATTTTTATTCGTCCAATTTATCCATTGAAAAAGTACTAAAGAAACAAATCATTATAAAAGTAAGGTAAAGTCTTCCAGTATAAGAGGAAGCAAGCATAAACGCAGCTAGGTAGAAAAAAGTTTGGATTCAAAGAAGATAAAACCGAGATCATACAGAAATTGTCAAGGCATCATGGGCAACATCCCCACCTTTTCTGACATAAAATTTGTCTTTTGTAGTTGAGTCTTTCATTTTAAATATCTGTGCCAGCTCAGCATTTGCTGTTTTCCACATCTTTAGGTCTTTTTGCCTTCCATATGTGTATTAAAAGTGCTTATCTGCATTTTGTGCTCCCAAATGGAAAAATATGAGGGTTAAAAGCAATTGAAACCTGATAAACAAAATTTGAATAAATAATTAGAAAATTGTAAACAACTGTTTTCAATTAATAAAAAACTGTTTTGAAAAAAAACTTTAAATTAGAAATGCAGTACTTCACATTTTATAACGTCATTAAAAATAAAGTCAAGCTGAGAGATGTTTTTTTTATCTTATGGAGGAAAGTAAATATATCCAAACAAAAATGTTCCTCAAAAAAGGGGAGGCAGTATATATTGTAGTTCTTGTTCAAACTATTCCTCACAACCAAACATTCATGTTAGGACGCCTACATATAAATACAGCATTTCCTTTAAATCAAATCACACCGCACACAGTTTAAGCTAAGGAATATCTTACGTCTATTTCAGCTGTCATGTAAAATATATTATACAATCTTTTACTAATGTGTTCTATTTATCAAAAAAATATAGTGATTTGTCTAAGTCTAAGCAGCGTCTTTGCATAGTCGATCAACCAGTTAGTGGAAACAATCAAAATAGGTTGCTCACAATCAAACAAGGACTAACAGTTGTTAGTGCTGATGACAGTTTTAAGAAAGTACCAAGTGCAA